GGCGAATGCCGGAGCAGTACCCTAACAAACGGGTCACGGACCGCGCTCGCTCGTGCCATCCCTGTCCTTGCCCTACCCTCACCGCTTACTCACACGCAGAACATTACCACACTTAAGGGGGGGGGCAGCGGGAGCTTAGAGCACGCGGCTGGGGAGGTGCCCCGCTGGGGGACACCTACTTGGGGAACGTTCCGCAAGCCAATGGGTAGGTCGGCGCCGGATCTCGCCACACACAGCGGGGGAAGATCACCGCTCCGATAAAGACATACATTACACTCCCAGGACTAATGACCTTAGCAGTTGACGAGTCCGGAAACCCTAATCAATCAATCACTGAACACTTAATTGAGACATAATTCTAGTCTAACAATACGTGGAACTTATTATTTTGTTAACGTTCTGTCTTCAAAACTCAATATTCTAATTTGTAAATAGGTATCTTACTCCATTCACATTGTTTTGTTGATGCTTCGATTAACATATCGATTAACATGCATCGATTTACAAATGCACACTGAAAGAAAAACATATACCCTCTAGAAAAATATAAGAATTAAACAAGTTTTTGAACAGAACACAACTTTCACGTAGGACGTGTCGAACCCATTTGCCTATGTCACCACGTACGGCGCAGACAATCTCTGGTCGGTAAGACTCTTTCGTCGCACTCTCTTTTTCTCTCGCACTTCCCAAAATTGGCGAAGGCAGGGGATACCTATGTGACCATAGAGAACGCCTATGGTTTACTTTAATAGTAAACAATGAAATTAGAATGAAACCACTGAATAAATAAATATATTGGGGGGGGGGATGTTCTTTACCTATACTTCCCACCAGTGATGCCCCCTGTCCGTACCAACACGTCAACAGAATAAATAGGGCATTGCCTATTAAACATCTCAGTCTTGTTTCAGTTTGCTATCTTCTTTCAGAGCTGGGTTTTTCTACTAGTTCCAGCCATTGTATCAGCCTTTCCAGTACTACCACTCCCACCTACTCATCCAGGTTACCCTTTATGGTAAGTTTAAAAGACACGATTTTTTCTATTTATTAAAGGGAAATTAGATTCTAGATGAATAAGTAGTATGGAGCATCTAAACTTCTTATTTATAATCATTACAGCCATAATCGATAATTTGCACATTCATAATCCAAACTATTTAGATTTACGTAAAATAATGGCTGTATACTTAATGACAAAATACATTCAACATAAAAATATATAACATTGAATACAGTAGTATTTGTATATTTATAAATAACAAATTTATATTTACTCTTATCATTTGCAGGCCTGGATATTGGAAAATGCAAGGAAGCCAACCTGTGAGTTACCCAGTATTTCTATTGCAAAGAGGAGAATCAGTCAATCATCAAGTGCCATATGCTTACCTGATGCCACAGCATAAGGGTATGATATATCCTCAAGTATCAAAAAGATTTCCTGAAATGACTGGCATCAAGTATCGATTGTTTTATAATTCTCTAGGAGATCTCATTCAATCATCATCATTTTTTCCAATTGAATTCAATGTACCGGACATGATAAGTACAATGTGGGGCTATATGATGAGCCTCCCAATTCTCAACAGATGGCAACAACAACAACAACAACAACAACAACAACAACAGCAACAGCAACAGCAACAGCAACAGCAACAGCAGCAGCAGCAGCAGCAACAAGCTCCAATAACTCCACAAAGCAAACTAAAGCTACCAGGATTAAATAATAATGATATACAAACACCATATATACCAATGTACTTCTACCCATAGCTTTACCAAATGTCTCTCAAAGAAATGAATTATGTAAATAGCTATTTAATATTAACTCTCACTGTTCAATTATTTATATCATTTACCGATTTAAGATTCAACTTATAAAATTAATTATTAGTACATTATTTTACTATTTCTTCCAATAAATTAATTTTACTCAAAAGACTTGAACTACTCCATCTAATAATCATCAAATACAAGGTTTCAAGATCATTTTAAACACAAACCAAGTATATGAAGCATATTTTTCAACATAAATCAAAGCAAATATCTATTTCATCTCTCATTATAAATTAAATACCTAATATTATTTATTCTGTAAATAAAAATATTCTATTGGCATACAATATTCCAAAATATACTTAAAAATTACTTAGTTACCACAGATTACCACTACGAATCATGAAATCATATTGAAAAAGGATCGGACCAGTTTAAAAATTGCTAAGCGTGCAAATGATTCGTAAATATCTAAAAGAATATAATGTTTCGCATAACTGCATTAAAAACAATCCTAGAGTTCATCTTGTTGCATTTCTGGAATACCTTTCCTTACCCAGGAAAGAACACGGTGCAAAACTATTTGATTGAATTGTAAGCTAGAATTTGGTGAATTTTAATTCCAAAAGATCCTTATTAACGCATTACAAATAATAAAATTTTATGAGATAAAATTATTTGATTTCATTTATTTCATCCAAAACAGTAAAAAATTGTAGGGATGAACTAGAGTATGTGATATAAAGGGGTCAGAAAAAAGTATAATCTGCTCACGTTTTCCCTTGATTATAGTGATTGCCTTAATGAACTCAGGAATATTAGCACAAACAATTGTAATATAAATCAGACATTAACTATTTAAATATTCAGCTCAAACAACTATTTATAAACCAAAAGGTAATTATATCAAAAAACTAATTAATTTACTCAGAAAAGTTAAATGATCTACATTGAAATGATAAATACAGTAAGAAAAGTTTAATTTTTTTCTCTCCCACAAAAGAATATTTCCAAAATACATTGATATAAATAGATATTTAAATCTACATTTATGCTCAGAATTTGCAAAAGAAAACAATCATAGCACGATTTAGCCCCTAGAAGCTAAATGCTAATGTGGAATTTTAGGCCCTACAATGAATAGAATGCATGAACCACTTGTGATTATCTGTGCTTCAATGTAATTTGCATTCTTGCAAATGAATTTTTTTGTCGTGGCACCTTTTAATGCTATGCTTACTTCAATTTTCATTTTCTATTCATTGAAAAATTTTTGCAAGTTTCACATATGACCTTAATAAACTACAATAAACATTTTTACGGTAGACAATGTATTATTTGATTCACATTTCCCTAAATCCCCTTAAAAATGTTTTTATGCACAAGTAAAAATTAATTGAATTGAAAATTACATAAATCTAGTGCATTCTGCTTTTACTTCTGAACATTGGAATAAATTCCAGACTTTTTATTTCAACTTCTAATAAACAACATGGAATAGTAGAAAGCCTTAAAAAATTAAAAGCAATTTGAATTAATGTTTAACCCATCTTCATATGTAGATGACTGCTACTTTTTTAAAAATCCATCCAAATACAGAAAAAAATTTAATTTTCTAAATTATTATTATCTTAATACTGTACCTTAAAAAGTAAAAAAAAAACAAAAACATAACATTTGTAGCAATCAATCTTTTCAATAAATTGCTTATTAATTCCATTTTGAAACAAAAACTGCACCATTCTGTAGAACTCAGTTGTGCATTTCCATGCATTACAAATAGATTAACAAATAATAAAAATATGATTAATCTTAAACCCATAATAGTATGGTTTTGATTTATTTGTTCCAAAATCATTTCATTTTATTTACCAATTTTCAACAAAGAGGAATAATCGAATTGAGAAATCTATAATCGTATTCTATTTGCTAGAATACTGATTAACAGAACTGTTTATATAATCCACTTTTTAGAAATAATTTCAGTGCAGCAATATAAGAACATTCTTTGATTTACTGTCTATGACAAATGAGCACTACTCCCTGGCAAGGAGTAACAATAATTATTTTGAATTAATTCAATGTACTTAACTAGTGGTTTCATAATATTAAAATTTGTATAGTTGAAATGTTTTATTTGTTGTATTAAGTGTTATATTACACAGAAACAAGTAAAAACTATTTAGTACATGTTTTTGTTACATTCAGAAAGCCTCATAAAGAAGCCTCTTCATTATATCAGAAAACGCTGCCATATAAAATTAAATTTCTCTAAAAATTATATGTTTATAAAGATTATATGTACTGTAATCTATAGATAAAATACTGGCAATGCTTTATACAAAATAAAAAAATATTTCATTTAAAGCAAATGTCAATTTCCCTGAAAGAATTAAAAAAGAAAATAAACTAATGTCATGGAGATCTCAATATTAAAAACCACTCTTAGTACGACAAAAAATATAGTTAATAATTATTTGTGATAATTATTAACTTATAAAACTAACATATATAGACCATTTGACCTTCTAACAAATATTATTATGATGATTATTAATATTTTTATTATCAAAAATTAGATCTTTAACACATTTAATTAAATTACCACATACCGGTATAACCAATACAGGTGATACTGTGAGGAACTATAAAAGTACATTAAAGAAATAGGGGTTGAAAATGTTCACTACAAAATGTAGAAACTGCCACAGCCATACAACATTACTACCTTCAAAAAAATTGAAGTCCTGTTAAAAAAAACTAGAACACAAGCATGTAAAGAAAAGGTAACAATGGATTTACCCAAAGAACCATCACCCCCAAACCACATACAAAATACTCAACAGGTATTCTGTATTTTCCTTTTATAGCTTGCATTTCAATGTATATGCAAGCTAGCCTGCGCTATTCCCCCAGTGAAACTTATTACAAATATACATTAAACAAAAAGTTATTTTGAAGAAAATAATCACATTTCTCTTTGTATTACGTTTGTTAATACCAAAAATCAAACGGATTCAACACTGGTAAATAATATCAAAGTATTTACATGTACATTCTATTCAGTATAAAACAAAATCTTCAATTATGTTGCAATAGGCTGTTTTAAAAGCGAGAAAAATATTAATTATTAAAATAATGATAATCATTTTTCTGATGGAGCAAGATGAAAAACAGGTTGTGTCTGGTGGTCTGGAAAGGATCCCCTCTGCCCTGGGTGCACTTGTGCGTCATGTACAGCAGCAACCGGAATGGAATGAAAATATGTGGCTTTTGCAGAGTAACTTATTGGAAGTGTGTCATGAGGACTCAAGAAAATGGGAAGTTGTGGAAGCACAACATCTGATCGACCGGGAGGTACTTGAAAACTATGAACAGCAGAAGGAAGTTTTGCATTAACAAATGCAGCCTTCTGAGAAATACTGAGGGGTTGAGGTTCAGGTAATTTGCTTTTACCTTCAGGTTCATCCTGAACAGGCTTCACTTCCACATACATAGGTACAGTATGCCAAAACATATAGTAATTATTTAAGTTGGAAGCAGCTTTGGAGGTATCCTTTGCAGCTTCTTGGGGTTTCTTCTCAATTTTTTCATTTGGTTTTCCCTGCAAATAGTTCAATAATAATTAATGTTGTTTTCTTATGAGCCACAAGTACAGTATTTTTTACACATATTTATAAATATACAGACTGTTTTCAACGTAATTTCGTTATTTTAATCAAATTACATAATAAATGTAATAATTCCACAAAATTTGGGTTTGTGTTTCTAAATTCCTCCAAAAAATAAGGTTGAAACAATATTCAGCACAATAATATTCAATATTCAAACGTCTTACATTGGTTGCTAGAAAACTTCAATCATAGAGCATTGACAATGGCAACGAAAAATCTCTTCAAAAGGAGAAGGTTAGAGGCAAAACTATTAACTACAAAGGCACAAATGTTATTGACAAGTGTTCGCTAGGTTCCATGACCACGAAAATATAAACTATTACATACAGACGTACAAAGATGTAGATTTTAATATTACCTAGAAATATGTAACTCGACGCATATTTCCTCTTGACGAAACGAACTTATGTACAGGCTAATGCACAGAACGTATCTAGTTACGACTGAACAAATGGTAATTTGTCTGGAGATGGGCGAGTAACAAGTCTATCAGCAGTGATTATTGTTTTGCCCAAAAACTAAAAGCAAAGAAAGCGTACGAATTCCAGATTAGGAAACTTGAAACGCGGTATTTAGTGGAAAATAGTTATTTACATGGGAAGAAAGTCTTGACGTACGAATGAAAGTCTTTGCGCACGAAACACTAAGCGACCACAGGAGCTCAGTTGTTGCAAATCGTTTAAGAATAAGTTTTTGTGTGGAAAATTCGCCGATTTCCGGTGCTCCATTACAATACTTTGTTATTACATTAGTAATTGCAAGAAAGAAAAAAGGGAAAGAAGAAGCTCTGTACTAGAGAAATCCATTCACGTGAATAATTCACCATTTTTACGTACAACGTAATTACCATTTTTTTGAAAAAACAAAATTATACGAATTCTGAATTTAGGTATTAAAAAGTATTTTTGGCAAAATTTAAAGTACAAAATATTATCTTTCATGCAGTCGATACTATTAGCATCAGCAAATTAGCTGTAGATTGGCTCTTATCCCTTATCCTGCCCCGTGTGAGAGAATCAAATGACTATTCAATTCTGAAGAACACGGATAACAATATTTTTATGATATTAATAACGAAATAACTAAATTTCCCACCAACACCCCAAAAAGCTCAAGAAAACGTGTGTAGCGAAGCTACATTTACGACTAGCCACAAAGCAAGGAGCCATTTCAACATTTGCTCAATGGATGAAGTGAGACCATACCATAATATACTCTCTGAACCATACTCTCTGAGTGAGTCTGAACGAAAAGATTTGATCGAGATGGAGTCGCCAACCAGAAGACTAAATTTTCTCATAAGCACGTAGTTCTAGATTTGGGGGTAAATTGGCTTTTAGAGTAAGATTAGAGACATTTGGTTGTAAATACTTCGCGATTTGCGAGGCAACGCAGTACAGCTTGTGGCTTGTCTTTCTTAACAATGACATGTCACAAAAATATATTTTTCTAGAATATTTGCATCAAATCCCACATTTGGGAAAATAGTCAGTAACTAACGATTTATCTGTTTTGCCGCAGATAAAACTATGTGTAGACGATTGTTTCTCAAAGAACTGCAAAGGTAACTTCTCCAAAACGTTTATTACAAAATGTTTATTTTGAAGTTTTATTTTTTACGTTATATTTTTAAAAGAAAAACATAGGCACAGAGCGAAGAAAATACGTTTTTATTCATAACCATATATTAATATGACAATATACTATACGTATATAAATAGCGTACCCGTGCGAGGACCCTCACCCTTGAAACCCCGCCATTTCCCTGTCCTTCCATTTAAATATTAAGAAAGAAAGTTGTAAATGAAACGTTTTTGTTTGTTTAAATTAGTTGTGCTACAGAATGGCACAGACTTTCTCGAATTAGTTTTCTAATTTCTTTGGTCTGGGCTAGCTATTTGAATTTGTCACATTTTCCCACTATTGCCGCCCAAAGTACATTTTCTTAATTTTTTGGATTCCTTAGAGTAGAATGGAAATATTATTTTAAAAATATTAAAAAACAGTCAAACTTCGTTCTAAACAGCAATTTTCTTTGAAAAATTCGGGGCAGTTTTTAAGAAAATGAACCTTAAACCCTACTGTAAATTCGAAATTTGAAGCTCTTTTTCACAGAAAAATTTTTATTTATCGAAAAACTTAATATGAAGTCATTTGAAGCCATTAACTCACAAATACAATAGTGTTTACAAATTCCTGGAAATGTGCTTACTATTGATGTGAGAGAACGTTCAAAAAATTACTTTTGTGTAATTTATTTTTAGAATATTCCCAAAAAATGAACGTTACGTCATATTAAAGAGTATAATTAGTAATATCCGTTCGAAAAGTTTGAAGAAAAAATTTGTACACGTTTTTGAAAAATTAGCGTTTGATAGTTTCTCAAAATGTGGAATTTTGAACCAGTTTTCTACGGAAACGGTTGAGTTATCGAGAAACTGTGTATGACATTATTTAAAGCACATATACTCATCAATATAATAATGTGAATAAAATGGCGCTAATTAAAATATGAAAGACGTGAGAGATAAGTAAAATAAATTATATTTTTGTAATTTTTGAGAGAAAGCAGAAGAATAGAGCAAACTGATGTTGATGTCATGTCATAGAGCACATTTAGCACTATCTTTACGAAAATTTTAAAGAAAAAAGTTGGATCGTTAATGATATAATCTGGTTTTTTATATAGTTTTCAAAATTGCAAATATTGCACGCATATTGCACGAAAATTATTAACATTTTTAAAAACTGTGCATGATCTTAATAAAAGAACTAATTATGGACAAAAAATTTTATTTGAGGGACAAATCTCTATATTTAATTTTGTAGTCGCAGGAAGACACCGAAAAAAAATTCACACTTTTGAAATTTTCAAAAATTTAAGAGTTAATCGTGAAAATCGAACCTATTCCTCTTTTATAAGAGCATTTCATTCATAAAAGAAATTAAAAGAAAAAAATTGGAGCCGTTGTTGAGAAAATTTTGAAAATGTCCGGAGGACTTCATGTAAAGTACCCCCAAATTTTATATTTTCAAAATCTGAAAGCACTGGCAGACGGACATTTTGAAAATAACAATTTTTTCGGTATCGGGGGACCCCAAAACGTGTATTTCCGTTGAAATCTCGAAATCAATTTTCTGCAGCATTACATAACTTTCCCTATACTGCCTATAACACTCCCTATACTCCCTCCGTACTCGTATATACGCACGTATACGCGAAAATAAAAATCACTAGCTTTCAAGGAATATCAGATTGAAGTGCAACAATAATTCCACAACAATACGCAATGATGTTAGTATTGTAGAACCGGCAAACTCACTTTTCTTTTGAAAGAAAAATACACGAAAATATCTGACTTCGACCCACTTCTTCACAAACACGTGAAATATATGAATTTAAATACTCTGCATAACAAACAATATGCAGTTAAAGAAAAAAATCTCAGAAATATGCAATTATGCAAAATAAAAATGGGCTACTTTCATTTTATGCTTTGTAATAGGTAACGTTATATACATTTCCATTCGGTATTGGCAATCAGTAAAAATATGCAATTGTACGAAGTTTCTCGGTGTAATTCATTATTTATAACATCAACATTTGTTTTCATTTTCATAAATGCGGCAACGTCTCGCGACGCAGTTGTGGGATTCATTCATTACTGAGTGACGTGAAAGTAGCAGATATGAGCTCGTCTACAGATTACACGCCTATTTAAATGAAAATAAAAAAGCTGACTGTGACATTTCATTATAGCTGCACATTTGCAACATTTTTTCAATATTCTTCGAATTCATCTCATTGTTATCGGTTGTGATGACTGTATGATGTAAATAATATTGTTATGAAAGAAAATAGATTGAAGGAAGGTAATAAAAGTATCTTAGAAGTAAGGAACACACTTCTATACTGAACAAAATTTTAAAAGATGATTATAGTATTCAAAAATTGAAAGCTAACTTCATTGTAATCAAAGCAAGCTTGTGTGTAATTATTACTGATTTTCTGGATTGTGTGTTGCAAATGCTGTAACAGTAAAATTTATTTGATTCGTTTGTAAAAGGTGGAAATTATTGCTGCTCCTGACTATCGAAATTAATGCATTGTTTGAATTGAATGTTTTCTAGTAATAGCTGAGGGGCTAGTAACGCAGAAATAACAATATTTCTGTAATACATAACTCTTTCCAAAAATGCAAGAAAGTATGTGCTGTTCTAGCACCACTAGTTTAAATTGCTTTCAAGGTAAATTTCGTAATATCTCCCAATGAACTATGAACCGCAGAAGTTCCAAGCAGGGTGAACATTTTACCCAGCAGTGCAACCTTTTGCAGATGTAATGTCCTCAATTACTACTAGTGTCCCTCCGTCCTATCGTTATCCTCCAGGGCCTTTCCAGTTCTACCTGAAATCAAGTTATTGCGATAGGTATTATTATTATTATTATTATTATTATTATTATTATTATTATTATTATTATTATTATTATTACCTCAATTCATGTTAGGTGTCGATTAAATATACAATCTATTCTAGGTTGCAGCTAGCTTCCTAAGGAGCAGATTTTGTTACTGTCGATCCCTCAACAATATTTGCGCAAAAAAATAAGAGTTGTTCGCACTATCGAATTTGTTTACACTTCCCAAAAACAAGAACGAACCTTGGACAAGGTTCTACACATGATTTTCGGATCAAATTTTAGAGCTCCGATAACTATCAGCACCGCCTATGGTTTTGCCCCGCATCCGGCTGATCTCGATTTAAGCAGTTTCTCTGTCTCCTTGGTTACGCATGTTCTCCTTTGTGAATCGCGCTATAGTAGATAGGAACAAACTACCTGCAAGAGCACTAGAGGCTCTTCATTCTAATATAGCCAAATTTAAAAATATGCTTAACACCATCGAGATCATCACTAATAATACTGAGATAGTTATATTTATTATTATTATTATTATTATTATTATTATTATTATTATTATTATTATNNNNATCATAATTATTGTTAACATTATGGGGTTGGTGTATTTTTTAACTATTAGTATTACTTATATTGTTGTTATTATTATTATTACTATTATTATTTTTATTGTTGTTGTTATGTCCCTTATACAGTAAAGGAGAGTGCAGTGTAATGTAGAGAAGTGTTAGATAAATTAGAAATAAATTTAGAGATAACTATAAATTAATTAGAACTAGAGTATCAGCCTTCAATTATAATTGTAATTCTAATTGTCAATGTTTGTAACAGTTTTGAAATTGTTCTAATTCTAACTGTAGTCATGTATTCCACCGAGCATTAGCTCAAAGAGAACACTAATAAATCTATCTTATTAGAATTAGATCTAAGTCTGTTTACCGTCGAGAAAATGTGCAAAAAGTGCATATTGACAAATTTGAAAATTGTCACAGAACGGTATATTTCTTTCAGTATTGGAAACTATTTATTGTGAATTGGATAAAAGTAATCAGAAACAAATTACAATCATCAGAAATGAAAAGCTTTGCTAAAATCTCTACTAACGTTAATTATTAATCATCTAACTTATTTTATTAATCAAAGAATTCAATATTTTTTCCTAAAGGTTTTTTGACATTAGCAATTTTGCCCATAATGTTCAGTGATATCAAATAAAGTTTTTTTATAAGACAACGAAAGTCAATTTTCTATGCTCAAGTATCAGTCCACTAGATCCGTATTTGGGTGAACCTAAACCTTACCGCGTACTCCGAGAGGTGCTTTCGAGTGGGGAAAAGGCAAAATAGTTTTACGATCGTACACCCCAAAATGTTTTCATACACGAAGATTCAAACGGCCCCTTATTCCCACGCAATCCTCAACTGAGACTCGTGAATAGCGCCGTTAAAGACATCATGAGTGGCGCACATTGACAAATTTGAAGCAAGTGCCCCAGCGCATGGGAGTGAAGGACTCCAAACTGCGATAATAAGTGAAGGGCTTGAAATCAGATAGTCGTAAGCAACATTTAAACAGAAATTGTTGTATTACCATCTATACACCCTTTGGCCTTCCAGTTTGATTCTCTCAAGTCGTATTAAAATCTGATAAAAATGGGGAGTATTGCAGTAAATTTTGATATGTGACTAAATACCTCCACGCTCTTCAATTTTATTCGTAATGAGCATTTTCGGGTATTTGTTAGGTCCAATCCCATACGCATGCGCAGAGGGGAGACAGGGGGCTGATCCCCCTTAACGTATTCAAAGGGGCCCCATAGCCGTAAGTGATATTCGTAAATATTTGCAATCCCTGATTTTTCCCATTGAGAGAGAACAATTATTGACATTTTAAAATTTTATTTAATTTAGGTCGCTTTAGAAACAGCTGATGTCATTAGAGAGCAGTATTATTGTATGATCGTAATTAGTAAAAACAATAAAAAATTTACTACAATTGTTCACTTTAACGTTATTTGTTAAATACCGTAAATTAGGGAATTTATTTGACATTTGGGGAAGAGCCTCTCCCAGACATTAGAGAAATCCCTGTAAATAATTCAACATGATACCATTTGTGTATTATTAACAGTAGTCTTTGAAGTTATAACTGAATTTTCTTTACAGTGCGTATTATTCAATTACTAGTAAAGTAAAGTAAATATGAAAATGTTCCACGGAAGAGAGAGTCCTGAAGTGTAGTTGATCCCCCTCCCGTGTCGACATAGGCCGAGCTCGCCTGTATCATTTCCTCCCAGAACGCATCTGTCGATGTTTGTGAGTTCACCCCGCAACGGTACTGACCAGAGCGCGCGCCGTGCCCCTGGCGCGGGCCGCGGGCGCGTCGGCCTCCACGATGACGGCCTCCAGGGAGGGGTCGTGCACGTGCGACGGGTCGTACAGCGCCTGCGGCACCTGCTGCAGGTCGGGGTAGCGGGTGAGCTCGCCGTCGTCGGCGGCCGGCTCCTGGTGGCCGTCGCTCTCCACCACCAGGCTGTCCCCGTCCGCCACGCCGCCGGCGTCCGACAGCACCTGCCCACGCACCAGCGCACTCAATGCACGAATTGGGCGGAGATACAATACACGCTCCGATTCAATTCTTGGAAACTAAACCGTAATGCAATCCTAAGAGTGAGTTGGGTAATCATCTCTCACTCCTATGAGTACCTTCCGGTGAGCAGTATGGCAAGGGTTCTGATCAGCGTTCATGAATGTGCAAAAAAAGTTATTCCCTAAATATTGCCTGATCGTCACGTTTTGTTCCACAATTTTAGATCTAATTTACAACTTTCACAATTTTTTCTAATTTCTTCTACGTAACCTAAGACGTTCTTGAGTATATATCTTAATGTTTTGACCAATTCTAATCTTTGCTTTGTCTCCTGTCTTCCTATATTTTACAATGAATATTATGCGAATTTTTAATACACAATTGAATTTTGTTTAAATTATGGGGTGCATTTTATCCCACTCTCATGATTTGAGTTCTTCACTAAGACAGTTAAGCAAGGAATAAAATCAAGTGATTCATAGAACATTGGTTGTCAATTATCGCACGAGAAAGTTTTGTCAAAACCGTGGAAATGGCTGGAAACCAGTAATTTATCGAAATGTTAAAATAAAAGGTCCGACACTCTCAACCAACTCCAATAACTTTCAATATTGTCTCAACATATTTTTTCCAAAAGTTCGAAATGTATAAAAACACTTAGAATTTTCCCAGGAATATTAACAAAATCTCATACACTATCCATTTTGTGAGAATCAATAAAAAAAAATGCGAGATTAAAAATACCTTCTCTTGACTATTCCTACGATTCTCCTAACTCTCCTTTTTCAATCAGGTAATCATTGCAATTAGGCACCAAAACCAGAATGACTACATGTTACGCGTTGTGCGTTTATTAACACGAGAAATAACAAATGATATTTTACAAGAACACAATTCAGTTTGTGAGAGATGTTTTACAGTTATATCTACAGAAGGAAGAGAAAGGTAATGTCAGAACACCAGAAGAATGATGGCATCTGTAATATCAAGGAAAGCGAGGCACCAGAGATATTCAGGAAAGTAAAAATGAATGTATAACAACACTATAAGAATTATAAAGAAAGAAACGGGAGGATATTAAACTTTTGAAGACAGAATTGAGATTGTATGCTAAAAGGTAAGTCTGCGAAAATTTGATCATGTTAAAAGCTGATCACAAAGGTACGAAAAGTAGAGCTGCAAAAATTATCGTATGTGGAAGAAAGATGGAATTGCTTAAGAAAAAATAAATGTAATGACGAAATATCAGAATTGACTCTCATGGAAGTGATGTCTGAAGAAAGAAGAAGTCTTCTTTCCGTCTTTTTTAAGAAGTGTTCAAACATTCGTAACGGTCCTGAATTTGGAATATTGGTTAAATTAAGATAATGAATGAACTACGAAAGAAATGAGGGAGAAAGATGGTGTTCTGAATTGGAAATGGGAATCATCACTTTTTTGCGAAGGATGCAGAAGTCTTTAACACATCATTTGTTTCATGTCGCGAATAGTAATATTTAGAAATTTTTACATCACTTATTTTTTAGATATGTTGTTTTTTCATAAAAGCATCCACTACCTTTTTTATTTTCTTCTAAAGGTGGTTTTATCTCATATTCTGTAACGAAGGACTCATACGTGGAGAAAGCATGCCATAACTATTATCTGAATATGGATGTACAGAATGTGCAGCGAATAGAAATCTAAACTTCGGTTTCTCGCTTTACGAAGCACGCGTACTCACGGGCTCTTGAGGGTACGTTGGTTTCGGCTGCTGGTGTGGGACTTGAGGAGTGTGGTGCGGAGGACTCAGCGGCTTCTGTTGTTGTTGTTGTTGTTGTTGTTGTTGCTGCTGCTGCTGCTTGTGCGCCTCCAGGCGGTCGAGGAGCATGGCGTGCTGCAGGAGCGCCGCCTGCACTTGCTGCAGGTGCGCGTCGCGCGCCGCCTGCACCTCGGGCGTGTCCCGCGGCGGCACGGGCAGCCCCAGCGCCGCCGCCGGCAGGTGGTTGGTGGCGGCGTGGAAGCCCGCGCCCGCGTCCCAGTACTGCACCTGCGCAGCGCGGTCCGGCCGCCTCCTCAACCACTCTCGAAAGCACACCACCGGGGATGCGCGGCGCACCGAACTAGGGTTACGCATTTTAGATGCACTCGTGGTTTTCGTTGATTGATTAATGATTACCGGAGCGTCAACTGCTGAGGTCATTAGTCCTGTAAGTGCGGTGTATGTGTTCTCCTCTGAAGGTGGAGGTGAATTTCCCCGCTGGATGCTAAGATCCGGCGCTGACCTGCACGTGTTTCCTCAACTAGGTATCTCCCACCTGCGGGGTACTGTCTCACCCGAGACAAGCTCTAAGTTCCCGACCGGTCTCTCGGCATGTGTGGTACAGTAGTGCATGTTGGTGGAAGAGTGTATATGTAAGGGGCAAGGAAAATAAAGGAAAGATTGTGATACATGGCCCGTTTGTTAGGGTACTGCTCTGGCATTCGCCTGGTGTTGATCGAAGAAACCATAGAAAAGTAAGAATCAAAGCAGCCGGTCGCTAGAAGCCGGTCGCTACAGACAGCCGCTGATTGCACTGATAGCGTAAACTTTGACTCTATTGAAAAGTAGACAATATTGTCCTCCGATGTCAATGGAAATGGATGTCAACATACTCAAATGATTGATCACATAATTTGGATAAAGGTTATGATTTCCGCCAAAGTTTCTCCATAACTACGCGTACAAAATTGTAAGCTCTCACGGCCTGTGTCAATGTTGAATTGCTCCTCTGGTTGATAGTCCAGTTGTGTTCATACTTCCACACGTTTCTTCTGCAACAGCGACTGACATCATTAGCGGCGGTGGGACCTTAGTCAACCAGAAGCTCACTGAAAAGGGTCTCCGACCCCATTTCTATACATCGGTTATTCGATAATGTTTTAAAAATTCAGACTTCAAGAAAACGTAAAAATGTTTTGCAACAAAATCAAGCGAAACAAACATTTTAATCTCCATTTAATACAATGATATTACAGAATTTTAAATTTTCTAAAAGTAATATTTGGGCTAAAAACTTTAGAAGAGACTATCAAAAGACACTTTTTTATTACACATTCAAACAAAAACAACAAGAATACAAACACCGCCAATGCCAAAGACGTGTTAACTTTTTAACTTCGCAACTGCGTGTTCTTGTGTACAACGTCAACAGTTTCATTTTTTATTTGTTTTTTCGGTCTCCTTGAATGGTGCTTTGTGAAGCGTATATGGAAACGATTTACATTCATTTTTTAGTTCTCTTCGTGAATCAATTTGTTTAAGCTTCTTTTCTTGATCACAGCGATAAACTGCGAGTTCTCCGATGACCTAACACGTTCTTTTTAAAGATATGACGCTACTCGTGACTCATAATCGTGCGCGCTGTTCTTTTGTTCTTTGCAATTTTTCAGTGAGCTTCTCTATTTTGAAACATGAACATCTCAGCTGAATATTCTTCTAGCCTTCGCTTAAGAAAGATAACGAAAAGGTTGAAGGCAAAGACCACAAATGCTTCAGTAAGGTAGATTGTCTTGAGAAAACATTATTAGTGATTCGTAAGAGTACGAGTACTTAGATATTTAGGTTGCAACCCACTCACTAAATTCTGGAATCTTGTGACTCCCGATTAATTCACTTGGAAATTGTAAAGTACAAAGCACTACCTTAACACGTCACCAACTCGCCCATTTGTGCAAGGCCTGAGTGAAAAGGGATTTCAATAATGGTCAGAAAAGGAATTCGATTTGATACTATATTTGCATTAACACTTGAGTGACATTCTTTTTAATGTGGTCATTTGTTCCACTTCAACGAATCTCAATGATACCTTCGTTTGAATTGTTTCATACACCGAATTGTTATTTACCGTACGTCACGACCTCCAGAATCGAGATGGTAGCGGCGGACGTTAGAAGGGTCGCGGGTTCGAATCCTGCGCCAAGCATAGATGTTTATCTGCGTATTTGCTGAATTGTGGCTTCCAACCTCATACTACCCTCTTGAGCTTGGATATGCCCAAGATGCGCTGTACCTGGATTGAGTTTACTCCGACGCTGCTCTCCCCCATATAACTAATGTAAGTCTGAGCTAGCGTATCATACGGATTTGGCAGCAACAAAGGAAGGACTTGAGAGGAGAAGGAAAAGAAATAGTCACATCCACAGGGTACTTAAGTGTAGAGTACAGTGTTAGAGTAACGTTTTGTCGTATGTGTTATGTTCGTAGAGACCGTAGTCACGTGTCTACAGCAGACATGCTGGTCCTGCGCCGACCAGTGTAAAATTCGAAGTCGTAGGCTTCCGCGACCAGAGTCATGTGGGTGATCTGGGCTGTCCGGGGACCGCTGCTCCACGCGCGTCTGGTCGGGCAGCAGGTAGCCGAAGATGGCGCGGCCCACGCCGTCCGCCACCTGCACAGCAAACCCCACCTCAGCGCGCGGCCACACACAGGCACGTTGCGAAACTACCCAGAGCACTTCAAAGTTTGGCATTCTTTCTTTACTCATACTTACTACTTACTTCACTACTTACTTTACTATCGTGTGTGTACTTCAAAATTACAGGATCAGTAATTAAAAAACTATTATTACCGTAAAGTATGTTCATTTTTTACAGGAGTTTTAACTTAATACACGAAAAAATGTATTAAATATGAAATAATAAATATTGAAAATAAAAAATGTATGAAAATTGTAATCACAAATAAACCTTATCTATAAGGTTGAGAAAATGTTAAAATATTTAGTTCACTTACGCCTTCCTACATTTTAAGACTGTTTCGACAGAATTCGATACCAAGTCTCCGGGTATTTTAGTTTCGATAACACGAAGGTATCAATATTTTATGGAGTCCGTATCGATACCTAATATCACATAGAATCTAATGTATCAACATCCCTATTCACACACGACATTTCAAAATTACTAAAAATATCAGGAATCACTGCATTAGTCTTTCAGAGTCAGTATTTTGTAAATTATCTATATCTATAAAGCACTATATAAGCAAGTTTTAATGAATTTAATAATCGGTTTTCGTTTCTGCTGTGGGTCCTACTGGCCTTGGTTTACGTTCTTGCAATCTAGCAACAGATGGCATTAGCTCCTAACGTATGAAACTTTTACTTTTTATTCCGAGAGAGAGGATGAAAAGAAATTCTTTGTGAATGCGTTAAAGTAATATGACAGCACACTCAGCGGGCACAGCAGACATAGGCTGGCTAACATAACACTAAAGCAGAGACAAAAGTACTGAAGCTGGAAACATGAAATTTGGCAAACAGGTTTCTATTTCAATGCACGTGACCCCTGAGAGAGGATTTTCGCTAATTCATTCTCTGCGGAGGTGGAATGACATCCTTAATGCGTGCATGCATTACTGATTGCTATGCATTGGGGTGCGTGGGCCGGGCGTGNNNNTTCCATTTTACATTATTGATCAAATTACTTTCTTTCGTATTTTACTGTAATGATTAAATATCCGGCAAGCACCGGGTTACTTCAGCTACTTTAATGTTAAATATGTTTATAATCGAAACAAGATTATCACAAATACGATGACGCCCCACATTTGAATGTTATCTTATGTATCCCTGCTGCTATGTGTCCTGTGTAACCGTAAACTTTTATAAGACTATTTAATTGTCAAAATTCGCTACTTATTATTGTTAATTAACATTTTGAGAAGAGAGTGCAGAATCCATTCGAATATTCGGTTCAATTCAAAATCAGTGTGTTGAAATTGTTTAAGCATATCAAACGTTGAGCTAAAAATGAACTACGAATCTATTGTTAAATAATCAGCTGTCGAATATTTTTTTAATGACTTGTAAAATCATGTTCGCATGGAGTTTCCACTAAAACAGGAGACGAATATAAGTTCTAACACTTAGAGTCGAGTGAAACTTTTTAGTTCTCTCATTATCTACACTCGGTTAATCAAAAACACATGCTGTAAACATGAGCAATCTTCGTAGACTTTACCGGCAAATAATTCTTTACAATTACGTTATAGTGAATCATTCATCTTTGATTCAATATTCCCATGATTTTCACATGAATTCAACAAGAGATTGACGCTGTACTTCTTATTAGAAATCAAAATCGAGGAATCTGGACATTTCTTCAAGATTTCTTCAAGAGAGAATCTTGTGCCCAATCATTCTACATCCAAACTCCTTACATGTATTATTAGCCAACATCATAAGCACCGAATCGTCATATTTCTTTGAGAGGAAGATGAGAAGAACTCTCGATGTGCAAACTGACTGCATAATTATATTGAACTACAATAAATAGACAAATTGACTTGCTAGTAGACATTTGCGGAATATACTTTTCATAAACCCCACCAATGCGTATTAAATTGAATCCTAGCCATTTTATCCAAGATTGTCATTACTTTTGACGATTTCAGTCATGAAACAATGTTCAACTTAGTGTTCGTTTCGGGAATTACCATAGAAAGATATGGAGTTTTGTTGTTAGCTTGAATATTCTGATATATTCGTCATAGTATGAACATTTCAAATGTGTTACGAGTACATTTCGTAGGGAGTGGTAACGTAGCACATGTCATCCGCCGCTGACGCCCATCCGGCTTCCCTCACCTGGAAGCGGCCGACCTCTGCGGCGTCCGAGTCTTCGTCCACGTCCTGCTCGCCCCCCGCCGCCGCCGCCGCCGCCACCGCCGCCGGCGTCACCATGCGGTGCGACGCAGCCCCCGGCCCTGCGCCGCCCTTCTGCGCCGCCGCCGCCGCCGGCCGCTCCTGCCGCTGCTGCTGCGTGTGCAGCAGGGCTGCCGCGCTGGGCGCCAGGTGGAACAGCTGCAGCGGGTACGGCATGCCCGGGTCCTGCTGCGCGCCCGCGCGGCCCACCAGCGCCTGGCACACCCCCTGGAACGCAACCGGCACAACACACGCTATTACATTGTTATTCGTTTGGGCGTGGTATCGCAATGGATTAATATTTTCACGTTCCGGTTCGGATTTGGACCTTCTCCAGGGATAAATAACAACCAATATGTATTTATGCCAGTGGCACAACCAAGTTTGGGGCTTATGGGGCTTTAGCCCCCCACCCCTCAGAAGTCAATGCTACATACTCCAAAATACAACTTTTACTAATATTCGATACTAATGAAAGTCATTCGTTATGTCAATCATTAACCTTATAAATATTAATAACAAATCAACAAATACAAATATGCTTAATATTTTACATTTTAACTTTACTAATTGTTGATAAAAAGAAAAGTAATTCAGTATATTAATTGTTAACATTATAAATATTAATCATAAATCAAATAAAATACATTTTATATTCAGTATAAATAAAAAAGTATTTACAATAAAACATCAAGTCGGCTAGACTCAACACCTTTAGCTCCTTTCACACGCATACATACACAAAACACACACACAGAAAAAACTGTGTGCGCCTCTTATTTATGCTAATACATTAGTGCTATTATCATATCATGCAAAAAGATTTAATAGCATTATTCTAGTAGTTGGTCTCGTAATCTGTTTCTTGTTTTACAGAATAAATTAACTAAATAATAACACCTCTTTTATCTCTTCAACCCTAAAAGATTCGAAGATGCTATTTACACAACTGAAGGAGCAGACAGAGGCTGCCTACCTACAACACATTTTGTCTTTGCTCTATTTCTATTGGTAAGACATGGCGTCAGTTTTGATTTTTTAAGCCGAAACTGTATATTAAATTGTGATTTGCCAGAAATAGTTTACGAATAAAGTTCCAAACATTTGCAAAGCATTAACAAAATTCCAAACGTTTTAATTTAAGCGAATCGTTTTTTGAAATATATATTTTCTGTTATATTTTCCGTTCATGGCACTCTTTGACAAACTTTTTTCCTCGCTTCCATTGAAAAAGAACTACGTGAGCCTGTCCTTTAGTCAAGCTCTCTCAGACATTCGAGAAAAGTTCACACCTGATCTTCGCATCTCTCACTGTTTTGAAGAAGAGGTGTTACGACTTCGCTGACTCATCCTACAGAGCCCTGATGGAGGTCCAAATCAGAACGAAAACGGAGGAAAGTGGATACAATACGAAGAAGCCAAAACCCCAAAACTGTGGCCAATTTAACAGTACAAAACGGCGAAGAACCCCGTATTTCATTAAATTCCCTTGATGGTAATGTCGTAAGACCCCATCCTAAAACCCGGATATTCAAAGGACCTGTGTTTTAGATAAATATAAATGTTTAATTTATATTTACTGATTGATTATTTGTTTGTTGTCAGGTGCGCCAACAGATATTCTCATTATTTCCGTAAGTGTAGAGTATATTTCGGAAGGTGGGGCTGTTCTGCCTCCGGAAGAAACTGAAATACGGCGCGGACCTCTTCGTCGGCTTGCAGAAGTTCCCCTCTTCCAGATCGTCTATGCCAGCGGGTCACCACCCCAGTCGGAACAAGATCTAAGCTCCCGACTGTCTCTTTACATGTGTAATGCATGTAGAGTGTCTATGTGTTGGGGAATAGGAGGGGGCAAGGAGGAGGAAGGAAAAAACGTAAGTTCTAATTCAGAGTTATAATGTGTAGCATCTACTTCATTAAATTTCTCAATGCGTATCATAAAATTCTAGGGGAAATCGGAGTAAAAATTCAAATTTTGTTATTATACTAGCCATTTGTTAAATTTCAAAATCGTTTCCTGCTTATTTTTATAAGAGTTATTCTTTTTATGTTTTGGCTTATTTGGCTGAAATTCTGAACCCCAAAAAGACGGAAAATGTTCAAGAAAAATTAAATATCTAAAGATGTTCTGAAAATGCATATTATAATAAGTCGCAATATTTAATTTGTATAAATAAACATTATTTTCTGAAGTATGTTGTTTGACTGAACTTTCCAAAAATGCCATTCGCTTTCCCGTCTTTCGTCCTCGGCCGCGGGCAGCGCAGGCGTCGGGGGCGTCAACCGCGAATCGGAGGGGCCATTGCAGGTCGTCGACCCGCAGGCGGCTGGGAAGGGTTTAGCGACCGCTGCGCCGGCCTCAGCCCGCGCGCTGGCACAAACCGGGCCTCGAGCGCCGTCGCTTCCCCTGCCCGAGCGATTTACCGCGAGCTGGCCGACGGAATAAAAGTATCGAGCGCCTCCGCGTCCTCGCCGGCAGGTCGGCGGGCGCGCGGGCACCCGCTGACTTGGGCGGAGATGTGTTTCACCTCCGCCCGCTCAAAGTCAGTGCGGAAAGGTCAGTCCTGCGCCCGCGGCGACGCGCCATTCACGCGCAGAACAATGAGCGTCCGAGGTAGCCGCCGCTAGCAAACGCCCCGCGACGCTCGCCGTGACCGTCCCGCTCGCCCCGCCCCGCCCCCCCGCACCAAACAACACGTCCGCCATGCACGCCGACCTCTCCCGCCGTCCTCGCCCTTGCCTCCTTCACATCTCCCCCGCTCCTCCCCTGACGCTCCTCCGGGCATGCGTAGCTTACGTGGTTTAATGACTATGCCTGCGTTCACAGTGTTTCCTTTTCGACTTCCCCCGACCGACTTCTTCTTACGTCTTCCGTGTGACCTCACCCCTTTCCTCTCTCTTTGTCCCTTCTTCCCTCCTCCCTCGTTTCTCTTGTTCTCAACTTTCGTCGGTCGCTCGTTTCTCCCTTTTTTGCCTTGCAGACACGCTCGTTCTTGTTAGCCCCCTCTCGCTTCGATCGGCTCATTTGTTCTGATTTCACCCCCCTCCTCTCAGCGGCCGGCCAGGCGTCATTCCGCGTCTTCCGGTTCTCCGTGAAAACAAGTTTGGAAACGCCTTGGTCAAGAAATTTTCAAGTTCGAATGGTCACAAACATGCAAATTTCTTCAGGAAAAGAAATAAATGACGCACTGACTTTCCCTCTCTTTTAACACTAAAAGGTAATGGTAAACAAATTGTCCAAGCCAGTGAAGCATAAATGTATTGTTTTGTGTGACAGCGTGTTTTAAATGTTTAAAAAAATGCAATTACGAGATAGCAATTTATAAAATCTATTGTTTCCAAGATCCTTAACACAAAAGGTGCCTACCAAGGAAAAAATATTGTACAAAAACATTTCTTTCGGAGTGTTTGACAAAATATTGCAAAACGTGATTAGAAGAGCGTCTATGGAACGTTTGTACCTCTGGAGAGTTTAACAGTACTTTAAACTATTTTAATTGCGTTGCATAGGTCTATAATTACTGCCCCTTATTTAAAACATAATAAAATAATTTAGATATACCTTAGTCTGTAATATACCGCAAAAACACCCTATTTTCAATCCCCGGAATTAATAGTGTTTAGCAATAAGAGCAAAGGAATATCTTCCTAAATTTAATTTTGTTTACAATACAATGTTTTACTTCAAGTATAATCAAGATTTTCAACATCGCGCAAATATAGACAATATATTTCACAAACCATAAATACAACAAATCTTTCTTTATTATTTGGTGATTAACATTTTTTTTCTCGGGACATGTGCCCCTGTGAATAGGCTAATAACTGATGAAAACTACAGTTTCACAAGATATCAATATATTTTGCTATCACGTAATTATTTGGATTCGTCTTCTAGAGTAGATAATCTGGTAACATATTTGATCTTAATCAATGCTTTTAAATCACTGTTGTAGTGTAATTAATCAGACAAATCGTTTTATTATGTCAGAGTTTATGATTTTTCAAAATTCACAATATTTGTAAATATCTATGGGCCCATAACTCAGCAACCAGTAGGGCTTTAGCTTACCTGATTGTACCCAAAATGTAGAGAATGATTACGAGTATTCAGTAGGGTACTTACATCATTTTCGGCAACACCGGAGTCATATGTTATCTTTCATTGTATCACTAATTTCAATGATCTGAATGATCTTAATGATCACATGATTCATCCGATGACGGTATGTCGTTTTAATATTAGTTACAATGCAATTAAGATAGGGTACTTCAATATACTACGGAAGACATTATGAACTTCTCGATATACAGTAGATCTTCACAGATCTGCCTTGTAACACCTACTTACTGAAATTAGAACACGTTTTGCCGGCAATAAAACAACATTCAACGAATATATAATAATTCAATATTACGTAGTTTAACACTGTTAATGAAATGCGACTTCTTGTACAAATCTATTTAATGTTTTGCCTAGAGGTAGAAATTCAAATTTTCTAATTGAAACACAGGAACTTATTTACAATGGGCAGCGTCTGAAATGTTAGATTCATTTTCTTTATTATTTCTAACATCTCGACGGAATCAAGGTATTAAATTTATATTTGATTGTTATAATGAATGTTTTACCCTTTTGATAGTAGACGAGCAATATACATTCTCTTATGCCATTACAATGTTAAACATTCTTTCAGGATTTTGATGAACTTAGTTTCAGTAAGTAACGTACAATCGAATTATGAGAGAGATCACAGAAAAGTGTGGTGGATGATGACTGCATTTTGGCATATTTTTAGAATTATATAACTCTTCTAATTGATTGAAGAAAATTCATGAAGTCAGTTTTATTTTCATCGATGAATTCGGGCACATTACTTTTTAATTTACCATCTATTAAAATACATTTTTCAGCAATGAATTTTTTCAGAGTTTTGAAGTGGTGGATAACTTCCACAAACTGATTTCTCTTCATTTTGAAACCGAGAGAGAGACAACTACAAGTCTGGGCGACCGTTTCTCTTTAAACTTTTTTATTTACATATAATTTTTTTCTGGTAATACAATTTTTTAAATACATTTTTGGGTGGTTATAAGAGAGATTGACTCCGTCTTGGTCACATTTTCCCCGATGGTTTTGTACATTTTTAGCTGTTTTCGTCTGAATTTTGTAGGGGTCACGGTTCCTTTGCCTCCCTTTGTCCCCTTGCCTCCCTTTGCTCCCTTGC